GCTCAGCATACAGATTGAATAGGTATGGTGAAAGGATACAACCTCGACACACACTTTTCCTGATTTTAAACCATGCAGTATTCCCTTGTTCTGTCTGAACAACTGCCCCTTGATCTATGTACAGATTCCTCATGAGCACAATTAAGTGTTCTAGAATTCCCATTCTTTGCAATGTTATCCATAATTTCTTATGATCCACACAGTCGAATGCCTTTGCATAGTCAATAAAACACAGGTAAACATTTTCTGGTAGTCTCTGCTTTCAGCCAAGAGCCATCTGACACCAGCAATGATATTCCTCATTCCACGTCCTCTTCTGAATGCAGCTTGAATTTCTGGCAGTTCCCGTCAACGTACTGCTGCAGCCACTTTTGAATGATCCTCAGCAAAACTTTACTTGCATGTGATATTAATGATATTGTTTGATAATTTCTGCATTCTATTGGATCACCTTTCTTTGGAATGGGCACAAATATGGATCTCTTCCAGTTGGTTGGCCAGGTAGCTGTCCTCCAAATTTCTTGGCATAGACGAGTGAGCGCCTCCAGCACTGCATCCGTTTGTTGAAACATCACATTTGGTATTCTGTCAATTCCTGAAGCCTTGTTTTTCGCCAATGCCTTCAGTGCAGCTTGGACTTCTTCCTTCAATACTATCAGTTGTTGATCATATGCAACCTCCTGAAATGGCTGGACAGCGACCAATTCTTTTTGGTACAGTGACTCTGTGTATTCCTTCCATCTTCTTCTGATGCTACCTGAGTCATTCAGTATTTTGCCCCTAGAATCCTTCAATACTGCAACTCGAGGCTTGAATTTTTTCTTGAGTTCTTTCAGCTTCAGAAATGCTGAGTGTGTTCTTCCCCTTGGGTTTCCTAACTCCAGGTCTTTGCACGTGTCACTGTAATACTTTACTTTGTCTCCTTGAGCTGCCCTTTGAAATCTTCTGCTCAGCTCTTCTACTTCATCATTTCTTCCACCTACTTTAGCTACTGTATGTTCAAGAGCAAGTTTCAGAGTCTCTTCTAACATCCATTTTGGTCTTTTCTTTCTTCCCTGTCTTTTTAATGACCTCTTGCTTTCTTCAGGTATGATGTCCTTGATGTCATTCCACAACTTGTCTGGTCTTCAGTCAAATTTTTTTCTTGAGATGGTCTCTAAATTCAGGTGGGATGTACTTAAGGTCGTACTTCGGCTCTCGTGGACTTGTTGTAATTTTCTTCAGCTTCAACTTGAACTTGCATATAAGCAGTTGATGGTCTGTTCCTCAGTCGGCCCCTGGCTTTGTTCTGACTGATGATATTGAGCTTTTCCATTGTCTCTTTCCACAGATGTAGTCAATTTGATTCCTGTGTTTTCCATCTGGTGAGGTTCATGTGTATATTTACCATTTGTGTTGTTGAAAAAAGGTATTTGCAAGGAAGAAGTCTTTGTTCTTGCAAAATTCTATCATGAGATCTCCGGTGTCGTTTGTCACCAAGGCCATATTTTCCAAGAACAGATCCTTCTTCTTTACTTCCAACTTTCACATTCCAATCACCAGTAATTATCAATGCATCTTGATTGCATGTTTGATCAATTTCAGACTGAAGAAGTTGGTAACAATCTTCAATTTCTTCATCTTTGGCCTTAGTGGTTGATGTGTAAATTTGAATAATAGTCATATTAACTGGTCTTCCCTGTAGGCATATGGACATTATCCTATCACTGTCAGCGTTGTACTTAAGGATAGATCTTGAAGTGTTGTTTTTGACAATGAATGTGATGCCATTCCTCTTCAATTTGTCATACCTGGCGTAACGATCATATGATTGTCTGTTTCACAATAGCAAATACCAGTCCACTTCAGCTCACTAATGCCTATGATATCTATGTTTGTGCATTCCATTTCATTTTTGACGACTTCCAATTATCCTAGATTCATACTTTGACATTCTGCATTCCGGTTATTAATGGATGTTTGTAGCTGTTTCTTCTCATTTTGAGTCATGCCACATCAGCAAACAAAGGTCCTGAAAGCTTTACTCCATCTACATCACTAAGGTCGACTCTACTTTGAGGAGGCAGTTCTTCACCAGTTGTATTTTGAGAGCCTTCCTACCGAGGGGCTCACCTTCCGGCAGTATGCCAGACAATGTCCCTCTGCTATTCATAAGGTTTTCACCGGCCAATTGTTTCAGAAGTAGACTGCCAGGTCCTTCTTCCTAGTTTGTCTCGGTCTGGAAGCTCCACTGAAACCTGTCCACCATGGGTGACCCTGCTGATATTTGAAATACCGCTGGCATAGCTTCCAGCATCTAACACGCAAGCCACTACAGTATGACAACTCACAGATGTGTGCTTGGGTTAGAGAACACACTCTATTATTTTAGTCCTTTCTAATTTATTGAAGTTTGCTTCACGATTACCTTGTATAGTCACCTCTGGTAAATGTTCCACGTATGCTAGAAAAAAATGAATATTCATTGTTGGTTGCAGTGTTATATATAAATATCCTGTTTGGGATTTGTTGAGCTCCCTGAATCTGTGCATTGATGTCTTTTTCAATTCTGGAAAATTCTCAGCCATTGCCTCTCCAAATATTGCCTCCCCTTCGTCCCCTTTTTCTTACCTTCTGGAATTTTCATTAAAATAAGTTAATCCCCACTCTATCTTCTATGTCTCTCTTCTGATTATCTGTTGCTGTGTTACAAACTGTTTCAAAACTTAAAAAAAACTGTTGCCATCGAGCGACCCTATAGGACTGAGTAGAATTACCCCACGGGTTTCCAAGGAGTGGCTGGTGGATTTGAACTGCTGACCTTTTGGTTAGCAGCCAAAGGCTTACCCACTGTGCCATCAGGGCCCCTTCAAAACTTTAGTGGCTTAAAATAGCTACTGTGGTGGGTTGAATACATGGGAAGACAGAGGCTGACATTGGATTGATGCAGCTACAAGCCAAGGAATGCCAAACATCACTGAGAGTCCCCTGAAGCTAGCTAGGAAGAGACAAAAAAAGGATTCTTCCCTAGAGCCTTCAGAGGGAGCATGGCCCTGTCAACACCTGAGACCTCCATGCTGGAGAGCTCACGTATAGGCTCTCTGGTCAAGAGTACCTGCTGAGTCCAGCCTTCCAGCATTTCCTGCCAAGATACAGACATGTATGTAAATAAAGGCATCTTGGAACCTCCAGACCAGCCCATCTGTCAACTGAATAGCACTGAGTGACTTCAGTCAACACTATGAGGAACAGAACAATGACCTAGCCAAGCCCTGCTAGAATTCCTGACTCAGAGAATTGATAAGTATAATAAAATGGTGGCTATATTAGTTTTCTAGGGCTGCTATAACAAACTACCACAAAAACAATTTAAAACAATACAAATTTATTCTCTGACATTTCTGGAGGCCAGAAGTCCAAAATCAAGGTGTCGGCAGGGCCATACTGGCTTCTCCCAGAGGGAGCATCCCAAGAGAACCAGATGTAAGCTGCATAGTATTTTCTGACCTAGCTTCAGGAATCACACAGCATCACTTCCACCACATCTATAGGTCATGAATTTCTTTCACATCCTCTTGGTCACAAATGAGTCATACTGCCAGCCCAGATCAAGGGAAGGGGAATTAGACTCTACCTCTCCATGTGAAAGGAGCCCTGGTGGTGCAGTGGTTAAAGTGTTCCACTGCTAACTGAAAGGTTGGTGGTTCAAAACCATCAGCGGCTCTGTGGGGAGAAATATGTGGCAGTCTGCTTCCATAAAGATTTACAGCCTTGGAAACCCTATGGTGTCGCTGTGAGTCAGAATCGACTTGACGGCAGTGGGTTTGGTTTGGTTTGGTCTTGATGGGAGAGTGGCAAGGTCACATTACACAAGAACATGTTGGACAGGATATATTGGCTCAATCATTTTTGCAAAATACAGTTGGCCATAGTCTCTTGTTGTCTCTTTTATATTTTCCATTTGTGTCCAGTATATTTGTGCTCTGACATTGTATTTGACATATTTGTGAAAATAATTTGAGGCTTAGGATGTTGGTGTCTTCCACTTAAAGAGGTTTTATGTTTTCTTCTGCTAGATGCCTGGGGGCACTGCCAATCCAGGACTGGCTTAAGTTATGATCAAGGATAGAAGTTTCACGAACAATCTAGATCATGTAAAACTGGGCTGTAAGTCAACAGAGTACAAGTGTACTGGTTCACCATTACCCTGAGGATGTAGCCCTTTGGGGACCCAGCTGAAAGTAGGGGTGGTTTACATCTACTTTCACTCCTTTGATAATTCCATCCAGTTTTATTGGAATGCTACCTATATGCTTATGACTTCCAAATATATATCTTTAGTACTGAACTTCATTCTCATATATCTAACCACCTATGAGTCCTCTCTCCTCATTCCTCCCACACTCAATCTAACAGCAATCCCTGTCGATTTATCTTCAAATTATACCCCATATCCTTTCATTTCTTTCCATTTTTACCACCACCCTAATCCAGATCACCATCTTCTTCTACCTGGATGACTGCAGTAGCCTCTTAACTGGTCTTTCTGCCTCCATTCTTGCCTATGTGAATGGTGCTCTCTTGAGTTTGGACATACATGGAGGAAGACTGTTTTTGTCTCTCTATATCTATCATTTATTAATTCACTCAACGGATATTTATTTAAGTATCTACTATGTGCTAGGCACCGTTCAAGGTTCTGGACATATACCATGAACAACATCTTCAAAGTTCGTGCTCTCAAGCAGCTTACCTTCTAGTTGGGGAAGATAGACAATAAGTGGCCGGATTGTGTGTGTGTGTGTGTGTGTGTGTGTGTGTGTGTGTGCGTGTGTGTAGTAATCAATTATCAAATACTAATGTGAGCTCAGCTAAGATGAGGACTGAGAATTAGTAATGTAAAGATCAACAGTGACCTTGAGAAGTAGTGTTTATGGAATAGTGGAGATGAAAGCTTCTTTGGAGTGGATTAATGAGAGAATGGGAGGAAAAGAAGCAAAAATAGCAAGTAGAGACAACTATTTTAAAGCATTTTATGTAATGTTAAGGGGAAAAATGGGAGCAGTAGCTTGAGGGGAAGGGAGGTCAATGTAGACTTTTATTTTAAGATCAGAGAGATAATAGCATGATTGATGCTGATGGGACTGATCCAGTGGAGAGGGAGAAACTGATAATGTATGAGAGAAAGGGGGAATTGCTGGAGCAACACTTTTTTATGAGGGTGAAAGGGATGGTAACCAAAAACAAAAACAAAACAAACAAACCCAAAAGTATGGTATCAAGTGAAAAACTGGAAACATTGGCCTTAGGAGCTCAGACAGTCAATTTATTGTCATAAGTGTATAGGCAGAGTACATGGGTAGAGATGCAGGTAAGTGGGTAAATGTGATGTGGGGAGTCTGTGTAAGTTCATTGCATGGCATCAGCTAAGAGTGAGAGTGGGGCAAAAGGTGTTGGAGACTTAAGGAAAAAGGAGAAGATGTAAAATAGAGGTCCAGGAGAGTGGGAGAGTCAGTGGAACAGGGAAATGTAATATGGTTGCTGTGCAGTAAAAAGAGCTCACTTGAGGGAGAGAGTAAGATCGGAGTCATGAAGAAATACCTACCCTTCCTCCGGGCCCTATATTATCTGACTTCTGCTCCTTTCTACCACCTCATCTTCCATTACTCCCCTCCTCCAGTCTTCACTGTACTCCAGTCATGATGATGATTTTGTGTTCTGCAAACATGCTAAACTAGTTCTATTCTCAGGTCCTATGCATTTCTCTCAGAGTTCCATCAGCTGGCCTGTTATGCTTTAGGTCTCTGACCACCCCAGCTAAAGTATCATCCCCTACTCACATTCTGCCATATTATTCAACTCTATATCCTGACTAAAATCATTAAGATTGCCTTATTTATTTTTCTACTACTTTATTATCCCTTGTTCTCCCCAGTAGAATGTATGCTCCTACCATGCTGTACTCCAGCACCTACAAAAGTGTCTGGAATATAGTAGGTGTTCAATAAATATTGTTGACTGACTGACTCCCTATGTTTATCTTCCAAATCTCTGTGCTGTCCCCTCCCCTGTCCCAACCTCCTTCTGCTCCCCTAACAATCACATCCTCCCACTTTGCCCTCTGAACCCACTGTACCATGGAAAACAGTCTTCCCTACATCCTCAACCTCTTTGCCAAACACTCCACTTCTTCCTCCTGCCTCTCTCAGAGCTCTCTCATGAGACTAAGCCTTCCTCTGCAGCCCATATGGCTGGTAGGTGAGGCTGATTTTCTTTCTGCTCCCCATTGCTGCTTCTTAACCATGACTCCTCTACCCTCTTGCAACTCCCCTCTCCTTCTCCATCCCTCCAGAGTAAGAGGCTCATGTCATCTGGATTTACCATCCTTTACCTCTCACTGCTGCTGTCAACTCGTAACCTCCCATCCACTCCTCAGCTTCATCTAGACTTCACTAACCTGGTTTTCAGGGTTCCTCTATAAAGCAATCTCTGGAGTTTCACTGCTACAGATTGGGTGTGCTTTTCCTATTGTTTCAGCACCTAGTAAAGTCAAAGGTTACAACAGTGGGGCAAATAAATAACCAATGGACCCCTACCTGTTTCTTAGAGCATGAGGAGATTTATTCATCCCATAATCCCAGAATCGCTCCACTGCAGCAATAAAATAGTGCCGCGTTTTCTTTTGAAAGCTGCGGGGCCCGTGATTTTCATCCTCACCGTAAATGTCAAAATCTTCCCTCTTCATTTCAATTGAGAGGGCATCATCATAGTCAATTTTTTCTTGCTCTTGCTGAAGAGCAGTAAGGGTTATTTCCCTTGGATGGTAGTGTTTCAAGACCAGTGGATTTTCAGAGCCCAACCTTTCAGCCTCCCTTTGCTTTGCCCTAGTGACTTCCTTTAGAAGCCTATCTTGTCCCTCACTTATAGCTGCTATTGCATGATTGCTTTCACAAGGGTTCAAGGGAGAAATGGTGTCCTTTGTATTAAAAGCTGTGCTTTTTGGTGACTTCTCTTGAGATTGCCATTCTTCTCTTGATATCTGGGTAACATATTGGTTATCCCATGCAAGGGGGCTGAGCAGCTTGGGGAGAGTCTTTTCAGGGCTTTCTGTTGCCCCTTTCAGAAAGGGCACTTTTCCAGGTCTGTTTCCTTTACTCAGTTTAACAGCTCCCTGTGTTTTTTGAAGGAGGATCTCTTCCTTGAGATCCAGGTAGCCAGGAGAACCATTGCTAGTTTCTGTAGGGAAGGGGTCTTCCTGATGAACACGAATTTTAGGAAGTAATTCAACTTTTCCAGATGCTTCAGGTGAGCCTGGTTTCAAGAGAACAGTGTTCTCAAGTTTCTTGTACATGAGTGGGTCTGTGGCACTTAGGGAGATGACCTTTTCTTGACCTCTGATCATATCCAAGGTTAGGATGGCTGAAGATAGGTGATTTCTTTTGGCTACTTGGAAGAAATGACTGCTTTCCTGGACACCAGAACTTTTCTCCCTAAAAGTGTAATTACAGGCTGATGATAGACGATGAGAAGAGTTGTCTTGGGATGGTATCCTGTTCAGATCTGTAGGTCTAACTGATGGAAATGCTGATGTCTTTGCAATGGGTAATGCAGAGTCATTTGTTTGAGGGATGACATGATTCCTTATAGAACAATCTGATAAGGGGGACTGAGTTATGGCCCTTTTCTCTTTTTCATTGTAGTCTGCCTGTGTGAGGGTGCCCTGGGTCAAATACTTCATGTTTCTGGACTGCAGGGTTGAGGTGTCATTTGCAATTAACCCCCTTTCAAGCTCTATTTCTTCTAGTGGGGGTCCAAATTGTTTCAAAGTCCACTTACTACGTTGAGTGATAGCATTCTGTTGACTTGGATTAAAAGACATCCTTGTGGGTCTTGGATATTTCTCTACCATTTGCTCAGTTTGATTTCTCAAGTCTTCCAAGTTTGCTTCCTCCCTTCTTTTTGAGAAATGGGCTATGGGGAGCCCTAATCTATTTGCTGAACCATTCAGTGACCTGGTATCTTGAAGTACTGAATCATACTCTACCTCATCTAAGTCTTCTACAGTAACATTTTGCCGAGTGCTCAGTAAGAAGAGTGTCTTCAGGAAATTCTTAGTGCCAATCACTGGAAACACTTGAGGCAAACCTGCATTCCCTTGGATTAATGTTTCCTTCCTTTCTATCTCTTCCTGAAACTTTTTTTCTTGATTTTGGGTATCATTTTCTTGTACATTAGCCAAGTTTGTAAGAAATATGCTCCTGCTGTTTGGAAAAATCATTTCTTTGAATCCTGTGTCCTTTGTAAATTCATCCTCTCCTACTGCCACCTTACTCTTCTCCTCTGACGAGAAATTTTGATCTTTCACAGAATTTTCTGAGCTCAATGATATTAACTGCTTTGGACTAGGCCCTTGCTCTGAGCTCAGGGAGTTCTTTCTGTGAGTCCTTTTTATCCAATTCGCTGAATCTGGCAAGGACAGCATCGTGAAGAATGACATATCTGGATTTTCTGCATCTAGTGACACAGGGTCCTCTTTCTTTTGGTGGACCATTTCCACATCTTTTGATGAAGTAGTTTTATTTGATACATGATTTAGCCCCAAAGCTGTAGTATTTTTATCTATAAACATTTCATTATGATTCAAAGAAGTCACTTCTTGAAACTCAGTATCATTTTTTAATATGTCTTGCCAGCCTGATGTACTATTCTCATTTAATAATGTTGGGCCATCAATGTGAGTCTTTCCAATATTTGTTGAGTTGTTGGGTGTTTTGTTTGTCTTTACGAAAGAGATATTAACTTTGAATAAAGCATTATCTTTGGTCAATGAAGCAAGTCCATGAACTTTCTTCTCTTTAAATAACCTATCACTCTCCATTGATGATACCTTCTTTCCCAGGGAACTTTCTTGGCTACTCGTTAAAGCTGCTTCTAACACCGTGGAATCATTATCTCTTTCACTTAAGTGCAAAGGTACACCAGACCCAATAAGGGGAGATGACTTTTTGCCAAATAGAATGGTGCCTAGTTGACTACTAAAGTGAACTGGCGTATTCAGGGGTCCTAAGGAATCTGTCTTTTCCGTGTCTAATGGCAAGTTGTCTGATGAACTTATTGGTGAAGTCATTACATCATTTGATGAACTAGAAAATTTTGAATCATGTTTCTTCAAGTCTTCTGTTATAGTTGTTTCCAAATTCTCATTTAATCTTAATTGGAGGCCTAACTCAGGAGTAAATACCATGTCCTCACTGTGATGGAGCTCTGGCCTGAGGCATGCCACTTCAGATGGGCCCCCCTTATTTTCTATTGCTCCAGGTGAAGGATCATCAGGAATAGCCTCATATTTAGCTTCTTGGAGATCAGATAAGGATAATCCTTGTGGAGTAGGGCTCTGTCCCAAGAGCATCAACAAATCACTAGAGGAGACACTTTGTGCTTTAAGCAGCTGTGTTCTCTTTCCAAACCGAGGGCCCATCTTCTGTATGTCATTTTCTAGAGCTGTGGTGGCCTTGAATTCCTTATGCCTAGGGCTAGGGTGCCTTAAATTCCTGGAAAAGGCTCTGGGTTCAATGACACTATTTTCATTCAGCGAGTAGGTTGGAATATCTTCATATGTGTCATCATAATAACCATCAGTGTTCCCTTCACAACTAGAAACTTTCAGTAAAGCTGTCATGCCTCTGTTCCGAAAGTCTGAGTTGTGGCACCCTAGAACCCACAGACCTGGAGAAGAGAAAGAATAAGACTCTAGTTATTCATAAACCAGGTCCAAAGCAAGTTCTGTGTTAGAGGTCCCATTCTCAGATAAATGAAAAACAAAAACAAAAACAAAAACAAAACTGGTCAGTGTCATTATATCATAGGCCATCGGGTTAAATCCCTGACACATGTAACAGTAGTCCAACAACGGTGGTAAAAGTTTTTTTGCATTGCTGCAGTTGTGCTATACCTGTTTGTGACCACAAGAAAGGGCTGTGAGGGGAAACTAGCACAACTTGTACAAGGAAAGGTCATGGAAGCCCCCATAGACACATCCAAACTCCCTGAGGGACTGAATTGCTGGGCGAAGGGCTGTGGCAACCATGGTCTAGGTGAACATCTAGCTCAATTGGCATAACACAGTTTATAAAGACAATGCTCTACATTCTACCTTGGTGAGTAGTGTCTGGGGTCTTAAAAGCCTGTGAGCAGCCATCTAAGATATAAGATACTCCACTGGTCTCATCCCTTTGGGAGTAAGGGAGAATGAAGAGAACAGGATGCAAGGAAAAGATTAGTCCGAAGGACTCATTGTCCACAGCTACCAAGGCCTCCAGCGGACTGAGTCCAGTACAGCTGGATGGTGACCGGCTACCACCACTGACTGCTCTGACCAGGATCACAACACAGGGTTCTGGACAGAGATGGAGAAGGATGTAGAGCATAATTCTAACACACACACAAAAAAAGACGAGATTTACTGGCCTAAAGGAAACTGGAGAAACCCCGAGAGTATGGCCCCCAGACACCCTTTTAGCTCAGTGGTGAAGTTATCTCCGAGGTTCACCGTTCAACCTGGGAGTGGACATCCCCGTAAAACCAAATGAGACTAACGAGGTACAGGAGTCCAGTGACAAGGGCCAGAAGGCAGAAGGGGACAAGGAAGCTGGTGATACGGAACCCAAGGATGAGTAAGGATATTGTTGATGTGTTGTGAGATTGTTAACCATTGTCATAGGGCAACATTTGTGGTAACTGTTAAATGAGAAACTATTTTGTTCTGTAAGCCTTCATCTTAAGTGAGAATAACAGCACAATTGGAAGAGCATAGTCAATGTCACTGAACTGTGCATGTAGAAATTTTTGAAATGGTGTCTCTTTGGCTATGTGTATTTTTCCCAAAAAAAAAAAAAAAAGGTTGAGAAGTTAGAGGGTTGACATGTCATGGGGTTGTTAACCAATGTCATAAAACAATAGGCGTACTAGTGTTTCATGAGAAACTATTTGTTATGTAAGCCTTCACCTGAAGTACAATTAAAAAAAAAAAAGAAAAGAAAACCCTAAAAAAAAAAAAAAAAGAAAAAGAAAAGAAAGGGCTGTGATTAAAAAGAACGGATACTGGGATGAAAAATGGAGAAATTTAATTAATATACACAGTAGTGGAGAGTCTTACTAGTCACACAGAATCTTTGATGATGACAATAACTTAATTCAGGAAAGTTTTTACATGGGCTAGATGTGATTTCTATATAACATAGTGGCACAGGTTCTAGAGTCAGATGGCCTGGCTTCAAATCCTAGCTGTACCATTTACCAGCTGTGTTTCTTTGAACAAGTCACTTAAGCTCTCTGAGCTCTAGTTTTCTAATTTGTAAACAAGGCTAATAGTATCTACTCCATGATATAATGGATTCAAATCACATAGCACAATGCCTAGCATCCACCATCACCAATTTGCAGTATAAGTAAGCACAAGGGAACAGAACTTAGGTCTAGGGTCCATGTAATATAAAAATCTCACCACGGTGCTGGCAGTAATAATTTCTACTATGAACAAGATTATCTGCGTAAAGAAATACTATGAATAGACCAATTCCACAGTGGTAAAGTAGATCTATAAGCATAAGCTTTCTTCTAAGGGAAGCCTTTCCTAAAAGCATATTCCATAGAACCCTGTGAGGTAATGGGATGCCTGTGGAAAAAGGTTTCTACAGTCAAATACATTTTGGAATCACTGCACACTATATCCAACCTAAAACTCTATGTTGAGCTAAACTATCAATCAAACAGAAAGGAGAATAAAGACCTTTTCTAACATACAAGGACTCAGAAAATCTACCTCTAATACAATCATTCTTCGAATGTAATTAGAAAAGGTTCTCCACCAAACTAAGGGAGTATATCAAAAAAGAAGAAAATATGGGATCCAGGAACCAGGTACCTATCCTGAGGCAGGGTGAAGAAAAGTCCCAAGTTAATAACTGAGCCTGAGGCCTAAAGAGAACCAGCCCAGACTAAAGCAGTACGATACATGTCTCTAGGGAAGGCAGTCTCCTAACAAAGAAGAAAATGTTATATGACAGATCTCTTGAAAAAAAAAAGGACAACTAAAGGGAAGATATTACAAGGAGAACAGAAAGACAATTAGAAGTTCCAGTTAAACATGTTATGAAAAAAAGAAATGTAATGTTATTCGGTTCCAAGGTGAACAATATTTACAGGGTCATAATAATGTGATTTCACTAAAAATAGGGACATAACTATATCATAAGTTTGAGGATTGAGAGCCCTATTTCATGATATTTGAAGGATAATTTTGATGGCAGAAAACCCTGTTGGGTCAGGGTAGATCAGGATTGGAGCTGAAATGAATAATTTTTTAATAAGATTTTTGACTCTTAAAATTTCACTGTTATAACTGAGATCAAACTAATCCCTTCTTTTTCCTGAGGATTACTAGATGAGAAAAGGGAAAATGAACTTCCAGAAAAAAAGTGTGGAATGACATACACCAAACTGGCAACAGGGCTTAACTCTGAGAGGGGCCTGGGATTGGGAGTGGTGTATACAGTATTTTTGTAATGAGAACATCTTATTTATTACGGTGTGACAAAAAAATAAAAACATCATTACAATTAACAAATTGCAAGCAAAGAGCTTAAAGAAGAAAAAAAATCAATAAAATAAATAATTTAAGTATAAGAAATTCCACATGTACAAAATTTGTGAAATAATAAAGGAGATATAATCACAGATACAAAGAAAATGAAAAGAATGGTGTTCCCTTAGAGACATCTCAACTGCTAATCTGCTCTTATAACTCCTGGCACAGGCATAAGACACCTGGCCAACCTTCTGCCTCAGTGATCTTACCAGGGCTTTCAATAAACTACAATCCTGAAACTAGTTGCTGTCAAAGTAACCCAGCGAGACAGAACCCAGCTGATCACAATAGACAAAAGCTCCTTACTCATCCAATGCTACTACAACACTCCCAGTGTGGAATATTAAGCAATCTTTTTAAATGATGAGGTGCACCTATCCTTATTGGCATAGAAAAATATCAAATACGTTATTAAGTGAGAAAAAAAACAGTTTACAAAAAATAATGTAGACTATGGTCACATTTGTATGTATATGTGCATGCATGACTCCAGTCTGGAATATTATACCCTGAGAGGCTGGCAGACTGCAAAGACTTTCCTTTCTCTCAAAGTATATGATCAGCTTTCTAGAGTGATGAGCAAGTCATCAGTGGGCCTGTCTACCCAAAATATCTCACCTGGAGGAGGCAGAGCCAACATAGCGCTATAGACAGAAGCACAATGTTGTCCCTCTGCAGCAAAGACCAGAAAAACTAAGTAAAACAGATACAAACATCAATCCTGGAACCCTTAACATCAAATGAAGGGAAAAAGAACTAGATCAAGCACCAGAAGAAGCAACTGACAAAGAACAGAGAATGAGGAAAGCTACAGAGTGGAGGTCCCCTGTCAGCTAATGTGGCACAGCTTTGCCATCTTGGAGCAAAGCCACCAACAACCCTGGACAGGGAGTATGGGAAGGCAACATCATGGAGCTCCCAAAAGGAGACAGAGCACCTGGTAACCAGAAATACACACTTTCCCACCCCTCAACCTTCTGCCCTGTACGCTGCCTCTGCGGCTTTCCAATGGGCCACAGTTGCTTGGCTGGAGAGACACCAGCTCACTGCTGCCCCGAGTCCACCCCACCCCCACCAGCCATCTCCCTCAGCTCCATATTATTTTCTTCTTCTTTCTCTGTTCTTTTCTCCCTTTTCCTTCTCTCTCTCACCTAGACCCTGCGATGTCTCTGCCCCTTCCAGATAGGCCATGCTGTGCTGCCCGGCAAGAGAAACACCAGCTCACCATCACCTCAATTCCGTCCCACCCCCAACAGCTGGTTCCCTCAGCACCATATTTTGTTTTTTTTTCTTTGTTTTGTTTTGTTGTTGTTTTGTATCTTCTCTCTTTCCCTTCCTTTCCTTTCTCCCGCCCACCTAGCCCTGTGTGCCTCCTCTGCCCCTTCTCAACTGGCCGTGGCACACCGCTCCACTAAAGAGCCACTGGCACATGGCCTCCCCCAGTCTTCCCCGCCCACACTTGCTGGCTCCTGCTGTGCCACTATTTTTGCTTTTGTTGTTGGGTTTTTTTCTGCTTTTGTTTCTCTCTCTTCATTCTCTTCTTTCTCTCTCCCACCTCGCTCCGCACATCATATCCTCTCGCTTCCTTCCTGCCTCTCTGTACTGCCTGCGGAGCATCAAGCCCTTGAGCAGCACCAGCGTGGACCCCCAGGCCCCCAGACCTCAACCTGAGCCAGCCCCACCCGGCCAAACACCGTGAGCCCCAGCAGCACCAGCTCAGACCCTCAGATCCCTGGATCCCACCCCACATCGCTCCTCGGCCCCAACCCACTGAGTGCTGTGTCCCCGAGTGGCACCAGCGCAGACCCCTGGACCCCCAGACTCTGCCCATGCCACCCCTAGCCCCACCTTGCTGAGCTCTGTGCCCACAAATGGGACCAACGTGAACCTAAGGAAGCCTGGACCCTGCCCCACCATGCCGCCCCAACCTGCCCCGCCAGCCTCAGTTCATGCCACATACAAATGACCCATGCCCGCCCCTCTCCTCCCCACTAGACTTGCCCGGCTGCACTATAGTTGAGTGACTGGCCCTGCCCACCTGGACAAGGTGGTGAGAACTATTGTGTTCACAGACGAGTAA